TGTCTCCTCAGGCGTCGCCGCTCGAGCAGGACTCGTGCATTGGGAGCCCGGGTGGCTGGAGCCGGTGAGGCGGCCGCAGCGGTACCGCGCTCGCTCGGGGCGGGCGGGAGGGAGGTGTTCCCCCCCCCCCCCCGTCGGGTGTCTCCCCGGCGCTGTCGGGGTCCACAAGCGTTATTTGGTTTCTTTCCCTCGCAGAATCGCTTTAGACCCTGCCGGGAACCAGGACCAGCAGAGCCCGGCGGCTCCCAGCGGTAAGTGCCCGTGAGCGGGTGGGGAACGCAGGTGTGGTGTGCCCGGTGTGTGCGGTGCCGTGTCTGAGGTCAGGATTCATGGGGGGTTTCCTTTCAGCTGTGCCCTTGGCAGCGCTTGTGACCTTGGTCCTGGCTTAGAAGTGAAGCTTTAACTTCAGTAGTGGCGAGGGGGAATGCTTCCTACCGGCCCGTACGCAGCCGACCGTGCAGGTTTCAGGCGTTAGGGTTTGTTCGGTAGCTTTGGCCTGCAGCGAGCACTGACTAGAAACGTTGAGATAAAGCAAGCTGCCTCAAGCTGTGGATGGTGACATGACTCAGGGCTATAGTCCTGGCGTAAGATAGCTCAGGTGGAGTGCAGCAACTTCCGTAGCTATGAAATGGCTGCCGCTAGAGGGACAGCCATTTTAATTATTAATGCGTAACCTCACCGAGGGTTACATCCAAAACCAGGGGCACATCCACTGCGGCATTGCCCGGATTGCACACTGGTTAAGTAGAATGGTTTTAATAGCAGTTCGCTGCTGGGGCGTGCGGACCTTTGTGTAGTTTTGTAATGTGGAGTCACGGCCTTGGTGTGGCTGCTTCGTGCCTTGCAGGTGCTGATAGAACTGCAGAGTAAAGCTATTCCATTTGTACTGACCTGAAGGCAAGTGCTTGTTTTTCATTGTAAATGCAATAGGCTGCATTTAGGGTAGATTGAAAATACAATACCTTGGGAATTCTGTTGGGAGAAGGGAGAAAAGGTACTAACTTTTCACAAAACACTTATGGTAACCTAGCAAATGAAGGGTGTTAAAACCCACACAAACCAACCTCAGAATTCCACACAGAACTACTTATGGGTTAAACTGAAGCTTTTTTCCATTTCATATGAAAGACTGGCTATAGGAAAGGAAATGATGACACTTTAAACTGTCACAGGCAAAACATGCTGATAGACTGGGTGACAACTGCTGGTGTTTAATTAGCCTTGGAACTTTCTGCCTGTGTGCTGTAATGGTGGTGGTGGTGGTTGTATAAATACCTTAATGCGCATAAACTATGAGCTTCCCCTCCCCACCTTTGACAGGAACAGAGACTGGGTATTGCACAACAACAGTAAAACCAGAACCAGCTTCTGAAAGCACCTGTGTGCAGGAAATGGTGGTGAGGAAGACTGAGGATATGACAGGCTTTATGGACGACTTAACCCTCAGCTCACCGAAGAAGAGAGAGTCGTCTGTGAGATCCAGGAGGAGTTGTGACAGGTCATCCACAAGGTCATCCAGCAGATCATCTTGCAGTTCACGGTCCAGTTCAAATAGTTCCTCTTCAGCTTCCTCCAGGAGTTGGAGCCGGTCCAGATCAAGGTCACGGGGTGGAAGAACCAGTTCCCGAAGGTACAGAAGATCCTCCCGCTCGTATTCCAGAAGCCGGTCGAGATCCCATGGCTACACGCGGTACCGTGGCAGGTACCATGTCAGATACTACCGCAGATACCGCCGCTCACCACCAAGGTACCGGTCCCGCAGCCGGTCCTGGTCCCGTGGAAGATCCTATTACAGAAGGTCATACTCGAGAAGCAGATCACGTTCTAGATGCAGAAAATATTATGGATTTGGGAGGACAATATACCCTGAGATTTACAGGAGCTGGAGGAGCAGGTCACGATCAAGATCCTGCAGTAGGTCACCTCTCCACTTGAGTGCAAAAGGTACTTCTTTTTTGAGCCTTTGTTGTGTAAGAACCTCAAAGCTTACAGCTTATTTTAACCAGGCAAATTTACGTCTGTTGAGTTGCTTTACAGAGCAGAATTGAAAGTGACAATGGGTGGTTATAAGTACATGTTTTTAAAAAAGTAGTTCAGAGCATATTCTTAGGACTTCAACTGAAGCTAAATTTCAAGTTCTGATGAATATTCATCGCAGTTAATGCTTACTTAGATTCAGTGATAGTAAACCTGCAGGTTTTGGGGCTTGTGTGAGTAGTTACATATTAATTTAAGCATAAGAGAAGACACTTTTTTTTTTGTAGACAAAAAGGAACTCCTTGAAATTGCAAAAGCAAATGCTGCAAAAGCTCTGGGAACAGATAACATCATCTTGCCAGCAAGCTTGAAGATGTTTACTCCTCCCAAAGAGAGAAAAAGCACCAAACAAAAGCAGGAAGATCCTGGGGAGTCAGCTGAGGTAAGTATGAACTGGAGTGTTCTCAAGGAAAAGGTAAACCCTTCTTAACTTGGCTCTGCATGGATGTCTCATCGGTTTTAACTCTGGAGTTTGTGATTATGAATTGAAACTGTTGAACAAAAACTTCAGATTTCCCAGAGTGGTGAAAACTGCTCCGGAAACCACATTGCTGTGAGCCAAAAGTACTGTGGACTCTTGCGAGGTGGTTGATCCACTGAGTACCTGCAGGCTTCCAGTAGTGGCAGGTTGGGAAGGAGAGGTGAATGTAGTTTTTTCCTTTGGGTTGTTCTTCTAAAAGGATATTAATTAGACTAGTTTATGTGTTTCTGACCTAGAACAAGAGTCTTCTTACGAAACCGAGTGAATAGTGTGGGGATTTTTTTTTTTCAAGTTACATCTTTCTGCCCTTTTTAACTGTTAAAAGTTTTTCATGTGCAACAAACTGTTTCCCAGAAATTACGTACCAAAGCACACAAATGCATTTTACATACTTTATTTCTGTCTTATAGAAATCATGACTATGGTTCCAGACATGATGAAGAAAATCTGTTGGTAATAAAGGGACTTGTGGGCTGTAGCTGCTATGAATTTAAGGGAGGGAGAAACTCGAGCAGCTTAAACTGGATGTTAGTTTGGCTCTGTCATTACAGTGTGACCTGATTAGTCGTAAATGCAGAACTGCACTAACTGTTCCCATTGAGCAGATGCTGCAGTAAATATACTGAGGGGTTTAGAGAAATGGTACAGGCATCCCGTTCATAATATATGCAATATATTCCAGATATTGAGAGTACAGAAGAAGAGGCCTGCATCACTGGCAGATAAGTTTATTGTTATTCAAAGCTCTGCAGGATGGATATGCAGAACTTAAAGCCACTTGCTCTCCCACTGCACTGTGGGGCAGTCCATGCTTCCAGTTGGTGGAATCTGTTTAAAATCTGTAATGGGGGCATGGATATCACATGAGAGAATTGGGATATGGACTCTGGGGGGGAAAGCACTGAATGCTTTCAAAGAGAGTTTGACATTGATCTGTTTGGATATTTAGTAGCTTACAGCTACTGTTGATGTAAATATCTGAAGCAACTCCACCAGAAAGTTCATGCTCTCTAGTAACTGCCTTAACGTGCATTGAATAATGTGTCCTCCCACCTAAGCTGTGTGTGCTTTCTCTAGCGACCCACAAGACCAGCAGGAAACATGACCAAGAGTGGAATAGAGAGAGCAGCTATACAGAAGAGCATTTCCTTCAGTCCTAATGTAAGTGTGGCCTCCCAGTGTGGAATCCTGGTACTTCCTCACTCTGCTAGGCTTGTCCCAGCATTGGTTGCCAAATTAAATTTAATAATGGTAAAGAACTTGCTAATTGAGTAATGAGTTTCCTGGAGCTGGATCAGTCCTTCAGCAGCAGAGCCCTGTAATCGCTATAGCAGTGTGTTCAAAATGGATGTTTACCTGATGTCAAATGTATCTACTGTGCTGTAGGCTTGAAAGCGTATGCCAGAAGTAGTTTGCACCAGAACTTAATTCAAGCTACATGTTTTAGTAAAGCAAACAAAGGAAAAAGCAGTTTCCTCAAGTCCTGTGTCAGGTGTCCATAGGTGATACTCAGAGGGCATAAGGTCTCCTGTGAGCTGAAAGCATTGTCTCACCAGTGGAAGCTGACAGGCCTTGGTGCATTCCTTCTTCAGGCAGCACTTTTAAAGGAAACTTGTGTGGTTCTTTTGTTTTCCAGAATACAATGGCAAAACCAGTCCTACAGAAGCCAGTAAGCCAAGTGGTTAAAGAACCAGCAGTCTCCCCGGCAAGAGAAGATGACAGGAAGGGAAGTCCCTATGGGCAGTGGGTTCCTGTCAGGAAGGAGGAGAAGAAAACATTTCTCAACTTCTCACCCAAAAGCGCCTTGTTCCGGGCACGCTGACTTGTTTGTCTGTGTCTGACTGCAGCGTTGCGCACGCTTCAGTAGCGAGGGCTGAAACGGTCTGATCAGGGTGAAGATTTATTAATGCTGAGTGTTCATATTGAGATCTTAATTGCGGAATCTTAGGTTTCTCTTTCAGATCTAGAGCACAGTGATCCGCCAGCCACAGATGGGACTCTTGTGTATAGTTGTACGTGTTTTGTATTGCTTTAATGGACTAGAGCTTACAGGTGGGTAACTTTTTCTAAACAACTGTTCAGTAGCTGTTATTTTGAAGTCTTGATTTATACTGTGTAGCTCGTCAAGTGAATAAACTTAAATTTTGCACTGGCTTCTTGGTGTGTCGAGTGTTAGACCTGTGTTGAGTGGTGAGCTGGCTGAACGCTGGGGCATGCTGTGTCCAGGCTGAGCTGTTGTTACCACAGCCTGCAGCAGCAGGTGATTTCTGGACCTTCACACTGGCTTGGCTTTTGTGAAAATAAATCACTGCTAAAATAAAGTGAGTTTGACTCCTCCAGTGAGAAACTGTATTGCCAGGCAAGGCTGGCATGTGTACAAAGGATGTCCCTCACCTTCTTGGTGATGGTCAGCTGTGTGGTACAGGGGAGCTCCACACTCATCACACAACAGCCCCAACCATGCTTTTACCAAAGTTTGTGTTCCCCAAACATGCTTTCACCTCCCTGCTACCCATGTCCTCAGGAACTCTGGCTACTGCTCAGAATTTAATTCTTACCAGTTTATTGTGTTACGTGATTGCACAAGCTTGTTCCTTCTGCAACTAAAAGCTATGTACAGCTGAAGGTCTGCAGATGACTTACCACATTAAATACATCATTGATCTTTAAAATTACTACAGTCTACAATGTACTTTTTTTTATAAAATTTAAAATCACCCACAAAATCTCTTACTAAGCCAAACTTGAGCAGGGGCAGGTGCTTTGCTGAGGACTCAGACAGCTGTTCCTCTCTCCAGGTTCTGTTTGATCTCAGCTGTGTACTTCCCATAGAACCTCTCTGCCTTCTTGTTGAACTTGGCATTTCTCTCGTTAATGTAGTCTATGTCAGCATCATCATTGTAGGGCCGGCGCCTGCTGTACTTCTCACGCTTCTCAATCCTGAAAGGCAAACGGCACCCATGGTGAACCTGGGGGTGTGACTGCACGGGGTCTCTCAGTGCCACCTCTCTGTTTACTTACTGCTTTTCAAGATCTGCGACCATTCTATCGACCCCTTCCTTAGTGGGCACATGAGTTCCATGGAGAAGACTGTCAGAGGTGGGATAAAGCGCTTCCCCACTGGACAACAGGAAGAGATGGACAGCAGTTTATGCACGCTCCAGTTTACTGTAACAGCTCATGGTGCTGGTGTTGGTGCTAAACCCACCCTCAGTGCAAGTGACACAACTTGTTGCTTCTGCAAACTTAGTAATGCTCCTACTCCTCACACAGGGACTGCCAGTTATGGGATCATGAGTTTTAAGATAACATTAAAAGGCTAAACATCACAGTGGATGAGATGTTCAGCACAGCACGGGCTGAAAGGATTACTTCTAAACGGCTTTGGTGTTAGCTAATAATTCTGAAACACCACAGACACCATCACATGACAGATCAAAACTCACTACTGCTCCTTCAGCTTCTCGTACTCCTCCAGGTCAGGTTTGATCTGCCGGGTCAGCCTCTGGTACTGGCGCAGCTGAGCAGCCGCGTAATCTGGGGAAGGAAATGGGTGTAGGTGAAGGTTTTTATTTGATGGGTCAGTTTGCAGCTAAAACACTTCACAAAGGTGCTGGGTGCAAACACAGTTACGTAGTTAAGCCATTACCTGAAAATCCCAGATCTGGATTTTTCCTCTTCTTTTTCCTTTCCCACCTCTCTGCATCCTCAGCGCTGATCTCCAGCAGTTTAACTCGCTCATAGTCCTCTCCTCTTGCTGCGCATTCCTACCAGAGAACAAAGAACACTTCAGTTGTAACAACAGCCAACCACGAAGCTTAGTTACGCCTACCAAGATGAGTCCAGCCAGCACCCAGGGCAGGACAGTAATTTAGATACTCGAGAATCTTAACTAGGAGGTGGATTTTATTGCCTGCGTAAGCTCCCAAGGCTGTAGCACCACCACGAATGGGGCTCTGCCCCACTGTCAGCGCACGGCCCAGGGTTCAGCAGGGCTGCAGAAGCTGTATTCGTGTGCTTACCCTCTTCTTTTCCTCCACCTTCAGCTCCCACTCCAGCCGAGCTTTTTTGGCCTCCCAGTTTGGTGGCAATTTAAGTCTTTTATCTTCCTCCACCACTTCATGGTGGTTCAGCTTGCGAGCCTCGTTCTAGGCACAAAGCGCTTCATTACACCCGGTAATAATGGACCGGCACCCCCGGGCTGCAGGAGCCCGGCCCGGCACAGCCCACCCCGACCGCCGCGTGCTGGACGGGCACCGGTGCCACCGGAGCCGCCCCTCCCGCACTGCTCCCCTATAGCGAAGCCCGGCCGGGCCCCGCTGCGCCCACCGCGTACCCGCTTCAAGTGGAGCTCGCGGAACTTGCGCAGCCGCTCCTCCCGCTTCTGTGCCGCCGCTGCAGCCACCGCCGCCGCGCTAGGCCGCGCCTCGTCCTCCGAGCCCGAGGAGCCCTGGAACAACCCTCGCTCAGCCCGTGGAGGGGAAGGAGCCGCGAGCCCCCCCCCCCCCACCCGCCGCCGCCGCCGCCCTCACCCCGCCATCGGGATCGGGAGCGCCAAGGCTGCCCAGCTCCGACACCGCCGCCGCCGCCATCTCCTACGAGGAACGCTTCCGCTTCCGCCTTCGCGCACGGCCTGTCGGGAAGCCGCCGCCGCCGCAGCCTCGGGCGCCCCCCAGCGGTTGGGAGGAACCACCGGCCCCCGCCGCCGCCTGCACCGGGGGCAGGCCTGAAACCGGCAGCTTGCGTGCGGAGCCGCCCGGGAGCGAGCTCCCATTCCCCGGGACTGCGGCCGCTGGTGCCGGGGCAGGCAGCCCCCAGCGGGCCGGGAGCGAGCCGAGGTTCCGGAAACGCTGGCAACGAGCATTTTCCTCCTCTTCTCCCGAGGAACCGGCGGGGGATGCAGCCTTGCAGGCAAAGCGAGGAAGCGGCAGTGGTCCAGAGGAGCCTCGCAGAGAGCCGGTGCTATCGATAGATAAATATGGACCCAAACACGGATTTACCCTCGGGGTTTATCAGCAGCAGCGCTTTGCGCATAGAGGTGCATCCGTGTGCGTGTGCGTGTAACGCCTGTGTGCCTGCAGAGGTGCAGAGCTCCTCTTTCCCGTTGCAGAAAGCACCCAGGCCCTGCAGGGTCGGTAACTGCCGCCCCACGACACGTTCTGGAGCCGGCGTTGTCATCTGCAGCTCGTCACTTCCCAGCAGAGGGAAACGCAGGCCAAGTGATGAGGGGCTGCGGGCCCCTGGCAAACCCCGACGGTCTCTGTTCTCTTTTAACTTCACTTTCTTCTGCTGCCAAACTCTGATGCATGCTGAGTGATTAAAAATATCAAATGCGGCGGTACCCAGCAAGGAGTCGAGCCGCAGGGGGAAAAAGAACCCCAACCCAGTGAAGCCAGTGCAGTACAGCAGAGCAGGCTGGGCCCCGGTGACAGTGCCTTAAGGAAAAGGAGAGGATGGTCCTGACGTGGGTTGGGTTTGGGTGTCTCCTTCACCTGCTCCCTCCGCATCCCTGCTGCTTGGCTGGGAGCTGTCAGACTTCCATGCACACGAAGCAAACTGCACCTGCTCTGGGGACGGGGACCGGGACCGCCGGTGCTGGAAGGGGAGGTTTGTCCGTTGATGTTGCACAGTCACTGGGCAGTTCAGTGGCTGAGTTACGTGCTTGGGACCCCAGCACTCAGTCACCCCTTGTCCCCTTCAGGCATGGGTTAGGAGCAGGCAGAGGGTGAGCGGTTGTGGGGCAGAGGCTCTGGGGCTGTCACTCGCTTGTGCAGTCGCTGCCCTCCTGTTAAACCACAGGAGGCTGGATGTGCCCATGGGTTTGTGTCCAGCCCTGGGCTCACTGGAGCCTCTTTTCCCTTCCCGCTGCTGTAATGCAGCTGGAAAATAAACCCAAGAGATTTCCCTGGCATCTGTGGATTTGCTTCTGGGTCTGCCGCCATCTCAGGAAGCCCCATTCCTGCTGCAGGTGCCCAGTGTCTCCCCAGCTCTGTGGCAGAGTTGCAAATCCCAACCTGGCCCCAAAAAGCAGGGAATTCTCCCCAGCCCGCCTTTCCCAAGGAGCAGGGCCTGGTCCTGCACGGCTGACAGTGAGTGCATGCAGATCTGCTCTTGCTGTCACTTACAGTTAATTTATTTTTAGATTAAAAAGTGTTTGTATTTCTCATGCACACAGAATTGGCTCCACTCTTTTGGGTTGTAGCTGCCTCCATTGTCTTCTCCAGTCATGCCTCCCCTGCAGTGCCGAAATGAAAAATTCCAGTTACATATTGTACAGGGGATGGGAGCTCGGAGGAACTGACTCATCCCAGTTATATTTGTCCTTTTCAAAGGGGAAGATCCTGGCCGGGGTGGGGGGGTTGAATGGGACATCATTGGTGATCTCCCGTCCACTGCAGCAAACGCACTGCTGTGAGAGGGGCGTGTGGGGCTGCGGTGATGGCCACCGGTGTCCTCGCCATGGGAAGCTCCTGGGGCTCAGCAGGGGCACTGAGAGGTTCGTGTTGCTGTGGCTCCAGCTTGGCATTGGCCACACCGCGTCCCCAAGACATGAGCCAGAGCCTGCAGGCAGTGAGCCCAGCCCTGGGACATCTCCCACCCTCGAGGGGGAGCAGCTCCAAGCTGGAGCTGAAGCTGTGCTGGTAGCACCAAGCACAGCAGCTGAAGCACAGTGACAGCCCGCGCTTTGGTCTGCATGGGGGCACCGGGCAGCAGCTCTTCCCTAAACATCTGCCCCATGGTGTAGCCTCCATCTGCCATCGGTCGGGGCTGATCCACTGCAGCATCTGGCTTGAACAGTGTGTCATGGTTTGGATGTGCAGTACCATGGTTTGGGTGTACAGTGATATGGTTTAGGTGTGCAGTGCCATGGTTTGGGTGTGCAGTGCCATGGCTTGGATGTGCAGTGGTATGGTTTGGGTGTGCAGTGCCATGGTTTGGTTGTGCAGTGCCATGATTTGGATGTGCAGTGCCATGGTTTGGGTGTGCAGTGCCATGATTTGGAGTGCAGTGCCATGGGTTGGGTGTGCAGTGCCATGGTTTGGGTGTGCAGTGCCATGATTTGGATGTGCAGTGCCATGGGTTGGGTGTGCAGTGCCATGGTTTGAGTCTGCAGTGCCATGATTTGAGTGTGCAGTGCCATAGTTTGGGTGTCCTGTGCCATGGTTTGTGTGTGCAGGGCCATGGTTTGAGTCTGCAGTGCCATGATTTGAGTGTGCAGTGCCATAGTTTGGGTGTCCTGTGCCATGGTTTGGGTGTGCAGTGCCCTGATTTGGGTGTGCAGGGCCATGGTTTGTGTGTGCAGGGCCATGGTTTGTTTGTGCAGTGCCATGGTTTGGCTGTGCAGTGCCATGTTTGGTTGTGCAGTGCCATCGTTTGGATGTGAAATGCCATGGTTTGGCTGTGCAGTGCCATGGTTTGGATGTGCAGTGCTATGGTTTGAGTGTGCAGTGCCATGATTTGGATGTGCAGTGCCACGGTTTGGTTGTGCAGTGCCATGGTTTGAGTGTGCAGTGCTATGGTTTGGGTGTGCAGTGCCATGGTTTGGATGTGCAGTTGTATGGTTTGGATGTGCAGTCCCACGGTTTGGATGTGCAGTGCTATGGTTTGGGTGTGCAGTGCTATGGTTTGGGTGTGCAGTGCTATGGTTTGGGTGTGCAGTGCTATGGTTTGAGTGTGCAGTGCCATGCTTTGGGTGTGCAGTGCCATGGTTTGGCTCTGTAGTGCCATGGTTTGGTTGTGCAATGCCATGATTTGGGTGTGCAGTGACATGGTTTGTGTGTGCTCTGCTATGGTTTGTGTGTGCAGTGCCATCGTTTGGGTGTCCTGTGCCATGGTTTGGTTGTGCAGTGCCATGGCTTGGATGTGCAGTGCCATGGTTTGGGTGTGCAGTACCATGGTTTGGGTGTGCTGTGCCATGGTTTGGTGTGCAGTGCCAGAGTTTGGATGTGCAGTTCCATGGTTTGGATGTCCAGTGCCATGGTTTGGATGTGCAGTGCTATGGTTTGAGTGTGCAGTGCTATGATTTGGAGGTGCAGTGCCATGGTTTGGATGTGCAGTGCCATTGTTTGGGTGTGCAGTGCTGCCATGGTTTGGGTGTATGGTGCCATGATTTCGGTGTGCGGTGCCATGGTTTGGGTGTGCATTGCTGTGTTTTGGGTGTGCAGTGCCATGATTAGGGTGTGCGGTGCCATGCTTTGTGTGTGCGGTGCCATGATTTGGGTGTGCAGTGCCATGGTTTGGGTGTGCATTGCTGTGTTTTAGGTGTGCAGTGCCATGATTTGTGTGTGCGGTGCCATGCTTTGTGTGTGCAGTGCCATGGTTTGGGTGTGCAGTGCCATGGTTTGGCTCTGTAGTGCCATGCTTTGGATGTGCAGTGCCATGATTTAGGTGTGCATTGCTATGGTTTGGGTGTGCAGTGCCATGGCTCGGATGTGCAGTGCCATGGTTTGGTTGTGCAGTGCCATGGTTTGGTTGTGCAGTGCTATGGTTTGGGTGTGCAGTGCCATGGCTCAGATGTGCAGTGCCATGGTTTGGTTGTGCAGTGCCATGGTTTGGTTGTGCAGTGCTATGGTTTGGATGTGCAGTGCCATGGTTCGGATGTGCAGTGCCATGGTTTGGGTGTGCTGTGCCATGGCTTGGTTGTGCAGTGCCATGGCTTGGGTGTGCAGTGCCATGCTTTGGATGTGCAGTGCCATGGTTCGGATGTGCAGTGCCATGGTTTGGGTGTGCTGTGCCATGGCTTGGTTGTGCAGTGCCATGGTTTGGGTGTGCAGTGCCATGGTTTGGTGTGCAGTGCCATGGTTTGGATGTGCAGTGGTATGGTTTGGATGTGCAGTGCTATGCTTTGGATGTGCAGTGCCATGATTTGGTTGTGCATTGCCATGATTTGGTTGTGCAGTGCTATGCTTTGGATGTGCAGTGCCATGCTTTGTGTGTGCAGTGCCATGATTTGGGTGTTCAGTGCCATGCTTTGGATGTGCAGTGCCATGCTTTGTGTGTGCAGTGCCATGATTTGGGTGTTCAGTGCCATGCTTTGGATGTGCAGTGCCATGGTTTGGTTGTGCAATGCCATGATTTAGGTGTGCATTGCTATGGTTCGGGTGTGCAGTGCCATGGTTCGGATGTGCAGTGCCATGCTTTGGATGTGCAGTGCCATGGTTCGGATGTGCAGTGCCATGGTTTGGGTGTGCTGTGCCATGGTTTGGCTGTGCAGTGCCATGGTTTGGGTGTGCAGTGCCATGGTTTGGTGTGCAGTGCCATACTTTGGATGTGCAGTGCCATGGTTTGGTTGTGCAGTGCCATGATTTGGTTGTGCAGTGCCATGGTTCGGATGTGCAGTGCCATGCTTTGGGTGTGCAGTGCCATGCTTTGGCTGTGCAGTGCCATGCTTTGGATGTGCAGTGCCATGATTTGGTTGTGCAGTGCCATGCTTTGGCTGTGCAGTGCCATGCTTTGGATGTGCAGTGCCATGATTTGGTTGTGCAGTGCCATGCTTTGGATGTGCAGTGCCATGATTTGGTTGTGCAGTGCCATGGTTTGGTTGTGCAGTGCCATGCTTTGGATGTGCAGTGCCATGATTTGGTTGTGCAGTGCCATGCTTTGGCTGTGCAGTGCCATGCTTTGGATGTGCAGTGCCATGATTTGGTTGTGCAGTGCCATGCTTTGGATGTGCAGTGCCATGATTTGGT